GTCCTCGCATTCTTGTTCGAAGCCCTCGGCTTCCACCTCGGCGACGAGGGCTCTCTGCAGCTCCATCGCTACAACGACATCTTGTCCCACTGAGGGCTGTTCGCTTGTGGACTCCACGTCCGAGATGATTTCCTCCTCCATCGAGGGCGCCCCCGAGATATCTTGAGAGTCGCTTTGTGAAGACATCGTCTGTGCTAGCTTGAGGGCTCGGATATACTAAGTGCTCTAAGCTAAAAATCCTAAGTATGAGTCCTAAGGCCGTTAAGCACAGCTAGTTAAAAAGGGTGGAGGACAAGTGAGGAACTGACCTTGGAACGGGAATTAGATCGAGGGCAAGTGTTTCTCTCTCTAGAAAAAATCCGACAGAGCTTCGCTAACAAATGATCGCACAAGAAAAGTGATGCCCGGCCATGGGGTATTTATAGGCGCCCAAATCCGGGCCTCCGGTACAAAATCATCATTACCAACCGACGTGTTGCCCAATCGGTGACACCCGCCCACGGTCAGCCAACGAGCACGCACCACGTGGAAGCCCCCCCCCCCCCCAACGGCTATATTTTGACGTTAGGTATTCCAACGACTATATTCACAACGGCTATATTCTGGGAGCCTCCGGCTATATTTAGCAGCCCACTCCTTCATCAACCAAGGAATTAGCCCCCGGGCTTTTTACTTCACTCCACTTCATCAAGAAGAGCCCCCGGGTACACTTACCCAGAGACGCTCCCGGTTTGTACCCCACACACTACATAACAAATGCCTTCGGGCTCACCCCCTCAGAAGCCCACAGCTTCATAACAGGCACACCCCTCGGGGATCCTCCCTCAGCACTTTGAGGGCCGGGTAGCCCCCAAGGAGTACGCCTCATTGACAGGTAGCCTACGGCACACAGGTAACGGGAGCCCTCAGATACCCTCCTCACCAACTGATCAACAAACAGGGGACACCCCGGTAACACTTCAACTACTACTCACATTCATCACGCCCTCGATCCCCAAATTGAGGGACTCCCCTTCGGCACCTCCCAGGATATCAACAGCAAGCCTCCGGTTAATCAACACATGCGCCCTCAGAACAAGGATAGCCTTCGGTATCAGCATGGTACTCCATTTCGAACCAGGGCTTCACATTTTCGATTCATCGTTGGGGGAATTCGGTGCACTCTTTTTCCCTCATTAGGATTTTTTCCCACAGGTTTTTTCCTAATGAGGTTTTTAACGAGGCATCCCCCCAAAATGAAACGAAAAGCGTCAGCCTTCGGCCCAATACATCAACATGATTACTCTACTCCTTTTCACCACTTTGCAAGTGCCTCAAGGAGTGGGGGACTGGAGAACTCCCCTCGGGAAAAATCACAAAAAGTGCAAAATGCCAAAAACTCCCGCAAACAGCAAACATGCCCCCTCAAGTCCCGACATGTGGGTAACTGAGGGATCGCCCCCGGCAGAATAAACAAACAACAAACTACAACGGAACAACGACAGAGGGCAAACACAATTACTCCTTTTCCCTCAAGTACCTTTCGGCAAAAGGAGTGAGGGACTCCTGATGGAGTATATGGCCCGGGAACCCCCGGCCCACAGACTCCTACTACCCCAATAAAGGCCCAAAAGGCCCAGGAAGCACAACAGGCCCAGATCACGGAGCCCGGAGTACCAAGCGGCCCACAATGCGCACCAGGGGTGCCTTCGCCCCCCTGGCCGAAGGCTCTGTATCTCACAGGATGGCCAAATCAGGAAAACAAAGTTACTGGGAAAAACGGCGAAAATCAGTAGCCCTCGGCACTAAGGAGGTCCCCAGTACTCAGAGCCCTCGGCTAATCATCTACAGCCGAGGGCACCTTTTCCGACATAATATCCGCTCCACATGCGTATGGATCATCGTACCGAGTACGACGTCACATCCAACAACCGCATTAAATGCGGCCACATGCGATTGCCAGCGCCAACCAGTGAGGTGACCCCTCGGCCAATGGATGCTTGACACGTGTCCCTGTCTGGCATTTATTGCTACTATAAATAGCACCCCTTTCCCCATTTGTAACCACAAAAAGCAAATACGCTGAATACACTTTCTAATATACTCTCTCTCTCTACTTACTTGCTCTGACTTCTCTCTAGTTATTCCCCGTAATAACCCCTCAGATAAGTTACCCCCGGGTACACTATCCATCAGAGACTTTAATACCAAGCTCATGTTTAATATGTAAGATTCTACCTGCTGTTGCATGCTTACCAATCACAAAACAACTCTTTTCCTTGTTAACCAACTGTCCTGTAGCATTCTGATACAGCTGCAGAAACTTAGAAAAGTTCTTTATAGATCTAGCAGACCCATTAAGGAAAATCATGAGGTCATCCTCAAAGGCTAGGTGGGAGATATGAGTGCTTCTACCCATATTAAAAGGCTCAATCTGACCTGCCGCAATGTGCCTGTTAAGACCCCTAAAGAAAGCATCCGACATAATAATAAAAAGAAGGGGGGAAAGAGGACCCCCCTGCTTGACCCCTGTATTAGGCTTGAAAAAACCAAAGGGCTCACCATGGATGAGAATGGAGATGTAGGTAGCCCTGAGATTACCCAAAATGAGCTTTCGTACCCCTAAAGCAAAACCAAACCGAGCTAGGATAGCATCAAGAAAATCCCAAGACACCCTGTCAAAGGCCTTTGCCATGTCTAGCTTTAACACCAGGTTAGAAGACCTCACCTTTCTATCCAAATGATGCAACACCTCAAAGGCAGTTAAGACCTGGTGTTGTATCTCTTTGCCCTTCATAAAACCAGACTTTTCACTTGATATAATTTGAGGCAAGATTTTTGTCATTCTAGTAGCCAGAATTCTCGTGTTTATTTTGCTAAAGAATGTTGACAAGCAAATAGGCCTAAAGTCCCCAAATGACACCACGTTTTTCTTCTCAGGAATAAGCACCATATTAGGGTTGGGTCCGAAAAACTGAAAACCAAAAACCGAATCAAATTAAACAGAACCACGACCAAATAAAACCGAAATGCTAAAAACCGAAACCGAATGTAAAAAACCGAACCGAACCGTAGTAGTTTGGTTTGGTTTTGGTTTTTACCCTTGAAAACCGAACCGAACCGAACAAACCGAACATAAATAAAATATGAAATTTTATTTGTTAAATGTAAGCATTAATCTTAATATCATCAATAATCTTTGAATTTCTTGTGCTAGAGATAATGTTTATGCTATGTTTAGTTTAGTTTATAAATGCATTTACACATTCATTGCCCATAATAATGTAGTTATATTGATCTATTATGTCTTTTATGTATGTATGTTGCAATTTGTTGCATGATTAGATGTTTTTACTAGTTATTAGTAGTAATTAACTTTTATTTTTATGTAACTTAATTCTTTTTTGTAACTTAACTTTTTTATATTGATAAAACAAATAAATATTCATCTCGGCTAAATCACACGGGACATATGTATTCATAAACGTTTTTCAAACTAGTCACAAACATTGTAAATTAAGAATAGATACACACTTTTATCTCTCCCGCATACTCATATAATTCAAGACATATTTGTTTATTACTACCTCCGTCCCATAAAATTCTTCTCACTTTGACTTGGCACGAAGATTAATAAAGTGGAATAAAGTGGAAATGTATGGTTGTGGTTGTGTAAGAAAAAGGTGAAATGAATATGAACCACATAAATTGTCCAAAAATGGTAGGTGGGAAGAATTTTTTGGGACGGCCCAAAAAGGAAAGTGGGAAGAATTTTATGGGACGAAGGGAATATTATTTTCTTCATTTGTTCAAGTATGCTTGCATTTTTATGTAATATGTTTGATCCCTCCAACTTTCATATCAATTTTAAATTAAATGACAAATATTTAGTAAAAAACCGAAAAAATCGAAACCGAACCAATCAAACCGTGGTTTGAAGTTTTGGAGTGTAAAACTGAACCGAAACCGAACCGAACTTTTACTTTGGTTCTGTATTTGGTTTTAGGTCAAAACCGAACCGAAAGAACCGAACCCACCCCTACACTATATTGACACTCCCCACACCTTTAGGGATAGCAAACCCCATGAAGAATTCATGAACGGCTAGTACAACATCCAATTTAATTATATCCCAGCATCCTTTGTAAAAAGAACAGCCAAACCCGTATGGCCCTGGAGATGCATCAGAATTCAAACTCCAAATAGCCTCCCTAACCTCCGGTTCATCTGATAACCTTAGTATATTTAAGCAGTTAAACATGTCACATATTAAAAAATAACACATTCTCATAAAATAACTTGAACAATATAGATATAATTAAATGAATATAAAAATAAATAAAATTATTCAAAAAACATGGATACAAAATCATCTATCCCTAGTATGATATTGTGTATTTAGTCATTATTTAATTTTAAAAAATATTTGAAATAGACTTTCAGACAAAATTGTGTGCCTCGACTAAGTAGACCCATATGTAGATACATTTGTCATATAAGTGTATCCATCTTCACTCGTCAGCTACTCAGCGGCTCAACCATTGAGACTCACAAGCTCATGGAAAAAGATGAACTAGTTTCTGGACATTAGTACATTACTCATTAATCATTATGCTTATTTGTTTGAAAGTTACGAAGTAGAAGTCTAAGCTAAAAACTTATAGCAGGTTTGGGGAATTGAGCCTTTCTTTTTGTATTTTAGTATGTGCAAAGTGCAAACAACCTAAGTATTAATTTTGGGCTTCAAAATTGTAATGAACTTTTATAATATTTTTGAATTTAAAGTAATTGTTGGGTATGAAGCCGGTATGGTATTATACCGGTATACCGCGGTATTTGAAAACATATACCGTGACCTTACCGAAATAAATCGGCACGGTATGATAGCGTACAGAAAATGACGGTATACCAATATTCCGATATTTTCCGATATTTTTTGATATCGCGGTATACCGATTTTTTGGTATTTTTGGGCGGCCCCGGTAATGATTAATTAAAACAAGCTGAGTTTGAACTATTTCTTTTGGTTCATTAAAGCCCCTCTTCCTCTTTCAGGAATCAGGAGTACAGGGGTGAATGTCGGCGTCTCTTTGCTCTTTCTTTCTGTCTCCCGCTGGCAACAATCAATCTTTCAACATTTTCACACCACGTTTTACCGTAATTTGCTGTTTTTTGGGTGCGCGGCATTAACAAAAACCAATTATTACTATTTTAATATAATATCGAAATCGGGAAAAAAAAATCCTTTTTTGCACCGACTGGTAACCCTGCTGCTGTTTATTATGGCCGGCCGGCCGGCCATATATATGGATATGGATGGTGCACAGCAGCAGTTTAAATAAATAAAGACATACGACGGACGTGTCGCCTCTCAACTCAAACTCTTGCTTCAAGTGGGACAAAACGCTGCTCTAAGCGACACACCACACCAGCCAGCAGCTCATCTATGTGATACTTCCTGAAAAACTCCACCTCTCTCTGACTGGTATTCATGTCCTTCTCACTTCTGCTACCCATCTTCATGGGATTGTGCTGTGCTGAAGATCTGCTTTTCATGTGATTTAAAGCTTTAATTTGTCCCGATTGTCGATGCTCCCATAAAGGGTTCTTTTTAAAATCCTTATCATTACTATATACGGAGTATATTGTTTATGGACATAAATAAATGATGTAATAATACTTTAAAAGAATCTAATGATGTCTTGTTTTAGCTAAATGAAGATTCATCGTTGAAAAAGGAAAGCAAGAAACAAGGAGTGTTGACTGCTTGCTTGACCCTATAGCTGATCGTTTCCTAACTTTTGATGGCTTCTTTGGATCTGGCTTTTGCGAATTTTCCCCTTTTCCGGACTTGGCTGATGACTTCATATTGATAAAAAACTTCTGAATCAAGTGGATGATAGATTTTTTAAACTTTTATCTACACCAGCTCCATCCATATAGCTCCACACAATTTGGAAAATTATTGTGATGGATTTCACCATGCTCCGCAGTAGATGTAGATTTCTCTTAAAAATATATATTTAATCTTATCTCCTGCTGTTTTGTTGTTTTACTGTGTTTTAGGCATCCTGTCTGTTTCAGTAAAATTAAATCTATAGACACAACATCTTTAAATGTACCCCAAATAATGTTTGATTATGTTGCATTTTCTTAATGTCTTGATGATATTTTTACTTACTATTGGTGCGGCACTGAAAAAGATTACTTCTTATTTCTGACTTTCCTGATGTTATAGCCTTATAGGATATCACCTGCTATTTCAAAGACATAATAGAGGAAAGACATATTATCATGGCCTCAAAACATGCCCCTCCAAGTAATAAGGGACGACGGCCATTCTCAACATTTATTGTACTCGGTCTATGTTGCCTCTTTTACCTGCTTGGAGTATGGCAGAATAGTGGGTCTGGAAAGGGTGACAGGTTAGCAGTAGCAGTTACAGAACAAACCGAAAACTGCAACATATTCCCTCCTTCCAGTCTTGATTTTGAACCACACCATACTTTTGTTTCAAAAATCGACACTTCTGAACCAAAGATCAAACCATACAGAATTTGTGATGCTAAATATAGAGACTATACTCCTTGCCAAGAACAAGATCGAGCTATGACTTTCCCTCGGGAAAAAATGATATACAGAGAAAGGCATTGTCCGCCGGATAAGGAAAAGCTTCGTTGTCTTATTCCTGCACCGAATGGATATACGACCCCGTTCCCCTGGCCAAAAAGCCGTGATTATGTATATTATGCTAATGTCCCTTACAAACATTTAACGGTTGAGAAGGCGGTTCAAAACTGGGTCCAGTTTCAGGGTAATGTATTCAAGTTTCCAGGAGGAGGAACGATGTTTCCTAAAGGAGCAGATGCATATATCAATGAGCTTGCATCTGTAATCCCAATGGCAAACGGGTCCATAAGAACAGCGCTTGATACTGGTTGCGGTGTGAGTCTTTTATTCTTTTAGCGTTGAAAGCACATTTGCTGAACATTTTGAATCATGCTCTTACCTAGGGTCTTTGCTTGTCTGTTTCGTATTCTTCTTATCGTCAGAATATAAGCTTGTTTGGGAACCTTTCATCTGTTTTTGAAAAGGAAAATGTCATTTTTACACATTTTTCGTACACGCCCCCGTACATTTTGTCGGTATCACAAGCAATTCATCCAAAAGAAGTGCAGAAATTTTGAAAATTTTGTACTAAATTTCTGTCATACATACAAAATTTACCAAACGTGTACACCAACCGTCACCAAGTATGACTGTTTTTCATAAGTTTCAGCTATTTCTGGGAAGTTATAAATTTATAACTTATGATTTTATTTCAATAGCTTAAATCTTTCTTTAATCTGTTTTCATATCATCACACTTTGTAAAAGCAATTTTCTTGTTCATTCTAGTTTTCAGTAAACTTTACCCAAACAAGAATCTCATTATAATTTATTACATATATAACCTATTATTGAAATAATATATTTTCCTTAAGTAGCTTTTGACTTATTTGGCTGAAATTGAATTTACCAAAACCTTTTCCTTTCTTAAAATTCGACATATGCAATCAATTCCAGTCGAATTACCCTTACTACATGGGGCTTTATTGTTTTATCCTACCAGTGTATTTTCATAATGTTGTTGCCATGTCGTGTTTAGGTGGCTAGCTTCGGTGCATATCTGCTGAAGAGAAATATATTAGCAATGTCGTTTGCACCAAAAGACAACCACGAAGCACAGGTTCAATTTGCACTAGAGCGTGGTGTTCCAGCTGTTATTGGTGTTCTTGGCTCAATACGACTTCCATACCCTTCAAGAGCATTTGATATGGCACATTGCTCTCGTTGCCTTATACCCTGGGCAGAAAATGGTATTTCATTGGTGCTATAATAACAGTTATTAATATATTTTATATTTCACACTGTTTATACGTACACTTGGCATGTTCCATGATGTGTGTGTTGATGTTTCAATAACATTGTTTGTAAATGTCAAACTTAGTGGCAACAGCTTGAGTTTTATGAAATTAGAAAAACGATCAAAAGTTAAACATATAATGGTTGAAATTGTGAAGTCTTTGTGCTGAATAATGACCATATGGATTTTGTTTCTAGATGGTATGTATCTGAAGGAAGTTGATAGAGTACTAAGACCAGGTGGGTATTGGGTTCTTTCTGGCCCTCCAATTAACTGGAAGACCTACTACAAAATCTGGAAAAGGTCCAAGGAGGATGTTAAGGCTGAACAGTTGAGAATTGAAGAGATTGCCAAGCTTCTTTGCTGGGAAAAGAAGTACGAAAAAGGTGATATTGCAATTTGGAGGAAGAAAGTCAATTCAAACTCTTGCATTAGGAAGCCTACCAATATATGCAAATCCAAATATAGTGATGGCGTTTGGTAAGACAATGAGTTTATATTTTTTGAGAATTGAGACGTTTAGGATTTGAAGTTTCCTTTTATGTCATTGATTTTTATGCCATTATTTCCATCATTTGCAATGGAGCCAAAGGTTCACTATTTTTTGGCCTGGGATTTGGGAATATGATAGAATATAGCAAAATGGCTCAATAAATAGTAGTCTTATAACTAGATTTTGGCAGTGCTAATCATAAACAAGATTATGCCTAGTACCACAACAACATCCAAAGATCTGAATGCAACATTTTGGCAGTGTTAATTAATCACCATCTCGTATACTACGTATTTAGAGTGATTGGCATAAAAAAATCATCATCACTCCAGTGCCGCAAAGGCTCCACCTTCGGTGTGGTAAGGAGAGGCCGGATGTATGTATTCTTACCCTTGTACTAAAGCAAAATGACCCTTCTATTTGTTATTTTTTTAATTGGTTATCTCTGATGCCACGTATGCACCGTTCACGTTTTTGCATTGGAGATGCTCTAAGGAAATGTGCTATCTTTACTCTTATAACAACAACATCCAAGCCTTAGTCCCAAAAGAGTTCAGGGTCAGCTAAAAAAGAAATCCGAGTAGAAAAGAAAAAGATAAGTAAGATAAGATAAAAACAGATAACAAATTAACAATGATAACATAAAGATGTTTTTTGAATGTGAGATAAAGATAAGAGGGTTTTCCTTAAATATTACTAAAAAAGTCATAGACAAAAATATTACTTAGTAACTATTAGTGCTTATCATTGTGTTTAAATTTATATCGTAGTAATGACATGTAAGTTACTACGATGTAAACTTTGAACACAATTATAGTCATTATTAGATACTAAGTAATATTTTTGTCTACCACATTTTAAAGACTAATGTTAATGGTTTTTTTCTAAAGATAATGTTAAAGATAAATAAGATAAAAGTGGTAAAAAGATAAAGAACATAAGAAAGATAAAGAAGATAAAAAGGTAAAAAAAGATGAAATGAGATCAATCAGCCACCCAAATATTTTGCCTCCACTTCGCTCTTTGTGAAGTCATACTCCCATCCAACTCAGTAAGTAGCAGCATATCATTTATGACTCCTCTAGTCCATGTTTCTTTGAGTTTTCTTCTCCCTCTCTTCTTCGCCTCTTCTCTCTATCTCTCAACTTGTCTAACAGGTGCATCCAAGGTTGTCAAAGTTGCGAGGCGCACTTAAGGCGCTAGAGTACTTCTATCACTTGAGGCGCAAGGCGTAAAAAAACGCTCGCCTGATTGAGGTCTAGCGCAATATTTAGAAAATATTATGTATACTATTCTAGAGTGATCAAATATGACATATTCAACACCATACTGAACTAAATGCATTAAAAAGCCATGTTTCTCAAAACCAAAGTCACGATTCACCGAGTCCCCGTTCACAAAAACAAAACACCAAGTGGGGTCTATCTTTGCTGATTTTGTAGTTTTAGCAATAGAAGTAGCATAAATTATGTAGTGTATGAAACTAATATCTGGTTTAGATTATATGAAGGTTTATACTGTTAAAATATGAAATGATTATAAGAAGATATAGAGTTGTAGATTGTATAATAAGATTAAATAATATAGAGTGCATATAATATACACTTGTAGTGAGGAACATATAATATGTTTGAGTTGCATAGAATATATTAGAAGCAAAAAGAACTAGGAATAAGAGTCAAATAAGCCCTTCTACTAATTTGAAAAAGTCATCTAAGCCCATGTATTCATATTTTTTCAAAATATTTTGTACTGACAGTTTTGTGTGTGTCATGTTAGGCTAATTTTGATCGGAGAAGTCTAATTAGAGACTATAAATGTCTCTAATTACATGAATATTACTGTTTTCAAATGTCTAATTAGAGATAATAAATGTCATCCACTCGCAAAAAACGTTTTACATATGATAAAAAATTGTAAAGTTTTTGGGCCACACATTTAATGATTAAATGTCGGTATATCTTCTTCAATTGACTTTGTGAGTTCATCAATGACTACAGTAAATAAGAAAAACTCTAAGCCAATCTTTGGTGTACTCTGATAGTAACAGGAAACTCTGCAGTCCTCCCTAAACTAGTACGAACACTTGTAGTACAATCCTCATACATATCCCCGGTGATGATTATATACTTATGTGATATGCCTTTTCTGGTTAAAGCCGACCATAGGGCTTCTTCAATTACTCTATCATACACCTTTTCTAAGTCAATGAACACCAAATGCAGATCCTTGTTAGTGTCTCTATACTTCTCCACAAGTTGCCTAAGAAGATGAATAGTGTTAGTTGTTGAGTGACAATTGATTCACCCAAATCTTCACACTCTCTTCAAATGGCTTCTGAGTGGTCTGTCGTTAGGTAACACATAGCACTATGAATTAATGTAAAAAGACATATTGACACAATCTTATGGTAGACTCCCCCATTCCAAGTTCCTACAGCAACCTTCTTATGAAGGAACTTTTTTATTGATTATGTGAGTTGCAATTTAATATTCTATTTCTTTCACTTGTAAAATGATACATTAGGTATATGAAAATGGAAGCATGCATAACTCCCCTTCCTGTGGTTCAGAGTTCTGATGAAGTGGCTGGTGGGGAGTTAAAGAAGTTTCCAGCTAGACTCTTTGCTATTCCACCCAGAATAACCAACGGGTTGTTGCCCAGAGTAACAATTGAGTCATATCAAGAGGACAATAAATGTTGGAAGAAACATGTAAATGCCTACAAAAGGACTGTGAGCCTGCTTGGAAGCACTAAATATCATAATATAATGGATATGAATAGTGGGCTTGGAGGCTTTGCTGCAGCACTGGAATCGCCTAAACTGTGGGTGATGAATGTGGTTCCAACTATTGGTGAAGACACTCTAGGTGTCATCTATGAGAGAGGGTTGATTGGCATATATCATGACTGGTACGTAATTCCTTTAAACTCTTGTTTCTGCGTCAATTTGTCCATATGTTTTTGGTATAAGAAAATTATTTCAATGGACACTGACTCCTAGGGTATCCAAGGTTCAAAGTTGCATATTGCGTAGCAGTGTCATTTTTTTAGGATTCTATATTGCGTGGTTGTGGCATTTTTTCAAATTTCAATGCATTTCTTTTAATAGAAAATTAAAAGAAAATAAGATCATACATGGATTAAGCTAAAACAAGATCTTCGAATTAAAAACGTGCAAACATATCATCAGTCAAGATTATGTAAAGGGGATATATATAATTCGGGTCATACTATATCTTTACTAAAACGTAAAAACTAAAGAAACCTTAGTTGCATCGAGTAGCCTGAAACCACCTTAGTTGCGTCGAGAAGACTAGAAGAGGAAGGCAGAGGAAGAATTCAGTACCATAGAAGAGACTAAATCGTTGGCAGGTCTTTTGCGACAGATGAAGAAGGCGTAAGAAAGTAAAAAATTGAATCACTGCCAGGTATATTGCATATGCCTTGATAGGCTTATTTTTAAATAAGTAAGCCCAGTCATCATCATCATCATCACCCCCAGTGCCGCAAAGGCTCCCACCTACGGTGGGGTAAGGGGGGTCAGATGTACGCAGTCTTACCCCTGTACTAAAGCACAGAGAGACTGTTTCCGAATGACCCGTAGTGAAAATCGCGTCAAAAATTGCATAGGCTGACCGTTACCTCATAACAAAGAAGCGCAGACAGTTTAGTGAAAGTAAGCCCAGTGCGGCCAAAAAAATATTACAGATGACCACATAGATCGTACGCCTCAGACAGCCTTGAGGTGTAGATAGAATTGCGTACGCCTCTGCGTATGCCATAACCCCTTCCACAATAAGCAATGCAATTTTACTGCCATACTCAAGGTATTGGTGAGACGCGCCTCAAGGTGGTATTGCATTTCGCAATTACAAACCATGAGGGTATTTTAGAATCTCCGGGAGACTGGGAAACATGGACGAGGAAAGAATCTCATGAAAATTAATTTTCAAGGTGTGCTCATTTTTCATTCAAAGTGCCAAGAAAATGAAATCCGATAGCTTTATATAATGGAACTTAATCAAATGTGTTCGAATACTTATTTAAAATAAATATATTTAGTTTGTTGCTCTTTTATTTTCCCACAATTGTTTATTGCTTCCAATTATTTTCTCTGTTTTCATTCCTGTTCTGAACGTATCCCCAATGGTAAAAGAAAATCATCACAAGTGCAAAATGACTTCTCCTTTTTGGTAGGAAGTCATTTTCGGATGGATCTTTTTTACTAACAATCACAATTTTACGGATGGGTCACCAACATCGTCCGTGGATTCCCACCCCACCACTGCATACCCGCATAGCAGTTTTCTAGTTTACTGCCAAACACAAGAAAGTTAGTCATTTTTGATAAATAAAATCCTTCATTTCAAATGGACCCTAGTGATTTGTACTATGACCGCTTGCGAAATCTGTTGTCCAACCTATCCCTTCACCCCAAACAATTAGTTTTTCAGGCAGCTAAAGGGTCAAATATAAGGACTCTGCAGGCCTGCACTCATCTGAATTGTTACTTTGACCCCATCAACCACAAAATGCTCCAATCAAAGCCATCATTGTTTCCAAATAGTTCATTTGGCTGGTTTGAAACCTGCTGTTTTCCTTCCCAAAAAGGTAAATACCAACATAGCATATGTTCCGTTTTCAAAATTTTAATACATGTGGGGGCCACAACATAATCTTTTTCCTTAAATTTCTAACCCTAGTGCCCATCATGATCATCTTCTTCCCTGAAATTCAAAGTCAGATTTATTGTACGGATTGACCAACTTAAGGATGGCAAGTACCAATATGTTTTTCATTATTTAAAAAGGTTTTGGCATCTCATCCGATCTCCTCACCATGTAATTCTACTACTCAAGCAGAAACTTAAATATAAAATATGAACTTTTCAGACATTTAGGTCAAAAATGAAAATGATTTAAATATGTTTCTCTATTGGGGGGAGCGACGAAAGTGAAAATTGTAGCCGGCTCCCCCATTATCCCTTCCCCTCAACCTTTTTTTCCCTCCTAAATACAAAAAAGATCTCCTTAGCCAATATTTTCATGTTATTTTATATGTTTACTTCTTAGCAATGTATAGAATCTGTGTATTCCTTGTTAGCAGAATCCACCGGTGGTGGAGTTCAGTTATTGATGGTTGGCAATGCTTGTCCTGCTTGATTTTTTTGGGAGGTTGATTTCGGGCGTCGACGACTCCTAGGCCTCAGTTATTCGCCCCATCATGAACAACCATCATGCTGTGGCCATCATGAACAACCATCATGCTTTGGCAATTTCTTCCCGGTAGCTGGTCAAGCTGAAGTTTCTAGTTGTTTCTTTTTAATGGTTGGACATCCCAAATTTTCTATTATTTCCTTGTCGTGGATGGTGGAACCGATCTATATGCTTGTTTTCTATCGCAGAGTAGTTTTAATACTCCCTCCGTCCCATCGGACTTTGCCATCTTTCCCTTTTTGGCTTTCCCAAAAAACTTTGCCATTTTTATATTAAAGCAATTGATTTATGGTTCTGCGCATTTCTCTCTCCTCTGCACAAATCTCAGCCACACAGTTTTTACTATTCTTATTTCTCACCTACTTTGCACTTGGCAAAGTCCACCGGGACGGAGGTAGTACTTCTTGTAGTCTTGATTATTGGTTTAGTAGAAGCTTCTATGTTGATAGAGGAGTCTATATCTTTGAAGGGTTAGCGAATTGTTATGTTGCTTTGGAATTTTTCAGTTCTATGTCCATCCCATTGTAGTTTTAGGCTATCCGAATTGTTTTTGTACTGATCATTTTTATCATTAATGGTTAAGTTGTTTTTCTTTAAAAAAGTCGGAAATGAAAATATTAAATAAGTTAAAAAACTATTAAGTCTTTCGAGGGAGTGAGTTGAGCAATATGAATGAGTATTGGGAACCTTTTTGACCCTTCAGCCTTTTTCAGGCTGTCTTTTTCTTGCCACTGGTGCTACTAATGTTTGTGAATTAGCTGAAGTTGACAAACATATGAGTGCCGATCTGTGCATTGTTATTCTGCTTTCCTGTTATTGTTTTTATAGAACAACGCATAATTCAATGTTCGAAATTGAATATCTTGTTCTCTACAGGTGTGAAGGATTCTCCACTTACCCAAGGACATATGACCTCATTCATGCCAGTGGCGTATTCACCATGTACCAAGACAAGTAAGACTTTTGTGAGTCATATTTCTCTGTTGTGAATGTCTGGCAATTGATTGGTTTCTTCTTCAAACATTTTCTTGTTTAAAAAATGATAAGGATGGCAAATTTGTCCTAATTTAACAAGAAACTTTACTAATGATTTGAAGTGTAAGAATTATAAGTTCCTTGACCTCTTGAGCCACATTGTTCTATATTTAGCCCTATTTTTAAAAATATCCTGAAGTTGCCTTAACACTTTGTGGTTGGCCTTGGGGAAAGTTTATTTTCGAATCTCATCCAAGTCAAGGTGAGCACATGTAGCATGAAACTTAAGCCGCCATCATCATCATCATCATCACCCCAGTGCCGCAAAGGCTTCCCATCTACGGTGGGGTAAGGGGGGGTCAGATGTACGCAGTCTTACCGCTGTGCTTTAGCACAGAGAGACTCTTTCCGGATGACCAGCGTGAATCTTAAGTGATCTGTCAAAATAGTCATCCGCACACCAATCCACAGTTCCACACACCATGTGGTTGGCATTGTGGAAGTTGTGGACTTCAAGCTAAATAACACAAGTGCCCATCCACACATCGTGTGTCTAGCTGTGGATGAGGCAGATCTTCTGGAAAATGTGCAAGCCTGCCCACCTGGCCTGTGGCCTGGTTTCACACTGTCGTGGATATAGCTTGTACTCATGCATGACCAAATGAATTAGCATACAACTCCTTATCTGTTCTACTTTTGTAGCTGGTGAGTAGGTTTAGTGGTATTAAAGAAACACCTTACATCTTCCCAAGCTATTTTTCATGCAATTATACCCCTAACAGCCTATCCAGATTTATAATGATAGAAAATACTTATTCACACACTATTAACAAGATTATCATACTTTCAGGAGTTTCAGGCCCTCACTATCCCAATTACCCTAGATCATGGCTAATCCCCTTCACCAATCCCAATCTCAACAGGAAAAGTTTACTAATTACGAATCCCAGCAAGGGTCAGAAGCTGCTTGACCTATCGAGCCTTCATCTCTCTCCATGGAAAAATATGTAGAATGAATAGATGTCTCAAAAGGTGGTCAAAACTTCAAAAGTCAAAGTGTCCTTTTAAAAACTCAAGTCGTCAAAAAAGTCATTTACATGTCATGTGGGTTGGCTGCGTGGGCATCACAAATTTCAGGTTACACAGCACACACACCTGTCAACTCTCTGTGTTTCTTGCTGTGTGGATGGGGAAGCTATCATGAAAAACACCACACTTCCCCACATGACTTGTGGCAGGCCGTGTGATCTGGAGAGGCTTCAAATGGGGTACTTGGTTTTAGAGAGTCATGGACATGGCGCACGTACAAGCCTATAAAAATTACCAAATGAGTGATATGACACAACCCACCGGGTAAAACTGAAACAAGCACAAAACTGTCACAACATGACTAAAAACATGCTTAAACCCATGCTCTATAGACCGTTCCCACACGTATAAGGGTGTTGGAACTCTGAATTTATCACCCAGGTAATCTGAGACTAGAGGAATATAAAATTATCTAATTTGTTTGGTTGGAATGGCAAAAGTGTACTATCCACACCTCATTAGACACAATGATTATTAAAATGAAGATAGTGTGGTTTAGAGTTCTTTTGAAGAGAGAATTAAAATGAACTATGTATTGATTTTTAGAAGAGGACATGGATGATACTTTTAGGATAGACGATAAGGAGATTGTGAAGATTGTTTAGAGGCTGACAAAGTAATCTTACTCTGTTTCGAAGTAAATACAATAATACATGGTTTTGAATACATGTTTCACTGTGAATACAAGAATACAAGAAACGGGATATGGCTAAGGCAATCTTTGAATATACTCAAGACAATCAGATTGCTTCTAACATTACCCACTTAGTGTTACAAACTGAAACTATGGTTACCAGAAAAACATCCCTTGGTGTCATCTGCACTGAAATGGGATGGTTTGTACTAGCAAAATTCTGCACAACAAAAGGGCCATATTATCTTTTGGTTTCCCCTAGCCCCTAGAGCATTTCAAAAACTATGTTCTAGGGCCTAAATCTAGAATGTGTAACTTACAGACCTATGTGTCTCAATGCAGGTGTAAATTTGAAGATATTATTCTGGAAATTGATCGGATTTTGAGGCCAGAGGGATTGGTCATTTTCCGAGATGGAGTTGAAGTTTTGAACAAGGTGAGGAAAGTTGCTCAGCACATGAGATGGGAAATGAAGTTGACAGATCATGAAGATGGACCATTAGTGCCAGAGAAGATTCTTATTGCTGTGAAACCATATGATTCAGCTGGTAGCATTCCTGCTGAAGAGAATAACAAATCAAGCAATAAGTAAATCTTTTTAGAGAAAATGTAAAGCAAATGCTTTTCGTTGCAGGATCAAATTTACAGGACACCAATGTTGTGAAAGTGTGAAACTGTTGATGTAAAGTTTAGATTTTTGTAATATTCAAAATTATTATTCAAGTAGGAACTGGATAATTTCATATCTAGCTACAAATAATGAATAATGTAGCAAGAAGAGTAGGTTTATGATGTGTGGCTAAACTGCTAAAGCTGTCTTAATTTTTATTCGAATTTTTATAGAGTTCACATTAATATGATATAGAAAATAATACTTTTTGCCTAGGGCCTCCAAAATGCTAGAGATGGCCTTGCTCCTCACGAATCATGATTAGACACTTTTATCTCGATTGTGTTGTCATTCATTTTTTCATCGATTCGTAATTGTCATTTTTTATAATCATTGTTTTTTCATAGGAGATTCACTAGGCATGGATCGGTTCCGGTTCGGGCCTGGGCCCGGCCGGGCCTCGGTTCAAGAAGGGGAGGCCCGGAACCGGCCCGGGTAACCCCCGGGTCCGGGCCGGGCCTCGGTTCTATTTTTTTTTTGGCTTTTCCTAGTTAACCACTTAACCCCCAACCCTCACCCCCAAACCAATCCTAACCACCTCAAATGGCCCAAAATACCCAACCCAATCCAAAAACTTAAAAAAATTCAAAAAAAATAAAAATGGCCCGGTTGAAGGGCCCAAGCCCGAACCGCCATCCCACCGGGCCGGTTGCCCCGAACTGGGTCCGGAACCGGTTCACCGGGCCGGGCTGGGCCTGCACAGTAGCGGGCCGGTCCGGTTTCGGGCTGGTTGGCCCAGCCCGAGTCCACCCCTAAGATTCACATCATGATTATGAATCGATTTGACTCTGATGACATGTTTAGATTTCGGGTTTCATACTAAAAGGTCAATTTTTAGGATGAATCCTCAAATCTTAACATACTTCAATCCTGAAACATTTCTCCATATCACATAGGGAATGATTAAGGTAATCAGTTTTTTTTTTTTGAAAAACTAAAGTCAAATATTTGTCATTTGCTTTTCTTTTAGTAAATTTCTAATAAAAAGCTTACAAAAAATAGGACTTTTAATTCTACTATTATCTGCGTCTCACTAACATTGAGACATGAGGACGTGATACGGTTATCAAGTAAAGTGAGTTTATGTGCATGATACTAAATTGGTAAAGTAAAAAAAGCAAGAATGATTTAAAATCGTCAAACTTTATCAAATTTGGTATGCGACAATTTTAGTAGAACAGATCGAAAATGAAAGATTTAACAATTTTAGCAGGATGGATGAAGTATTAATTATTGTTGGGGTAATTGGCCTAATACAGGATCGGGCGATCGGCCCAATACCTTATAAGGAAGAAGGGACCGGACGACGACCCACAAAGGATGTACGAATGTACGATGCATGACTTTGTACTGTGACGCTGTTCAACACCGTCTTGGCCAGTTAGGGCCAGAATTATCAGTTGATGGGCCTCAATGGGGACGCTCAGCTAGGCCCGAGCAGCTTCCTGAGCCTCATGCTTGTTTGAGTCTAGAACTACGAAGTCTGGGGACGATCGTCCTGGACAATTGACGGGAAACCAAGATATTGGCGGGAACCGCATTTAATGCACCAGATTTGGTGGTTTGGAAGTAGGGATGGACTAAACCGAGCCGACCCGACCCGGAACCGGCCCGACCCATTACTGTTTGGGCTCGGACCGGACCGGGACCGGTTGGCCGGTTCCGGGCTTTTAGCCCGTTTGGGCGGGCCGGGCGGGCCGGGCTCGGGCCCAACTTTTGGTGAACCGGCCCAGGCGGTTCGGGCTGGGCCCGATTCAATTTTTTTTGTTTTTTCAATTTTTTTGCTTTTCTAGGTTAGGGTTGGGTTTTTTGGGGGGGTTGGGGGTGGGGGTGAAGGGGGGGGGGGTCGGGTGTTTATTAGAAACCAAAAACAAATATGAACTTGACCTGGGCCCGGCCCGGCCCGGCCCGGTAAGGCCCGGACCCGGTATCAACCCGGGCCGGTTCCGGGCCCAGCATTTTGCAAAAAAGCCCGCCCGGGCCCGGCCTGGCCTGGGTCCATCCCTATTTGGAAGCTAGCCACTGAGAATCTTCCACATCACCACTACCATTACTACCCCTTGGTGGTATAAATAGCAACATTTATTCCATAGTTAGAGGTGAGCAACTTGTATTCACTAGCATAGTAGTGATTCCTTTGCATTCTCAGCTTAGATTAGACGATTGGGTCGGGTCCAGTACGGTGTGATGTAATAGTTCATTATTATCACTTAATAAGAACTAGGTACGCTTAATGTCTTTCTTCTAAATAATCATTTGCTTGTGCCACTTAAAACTCCCTGTCCACTACAAGTCTTACGAAACCCAAAGGTGTTGGGCCTTTGGAGTTGAAGGAATGAACCTCAACATCGGCGCTGTTTGTGGGAATCTGAACTAAAGGTTTTCCAAGCAAGCTCTCACACTAAGCAGCATCTCGAAAGCTCTTCAACAAGCAAAAATGGTTAGAATCTCGTTTGAGCGCACCTGTGACCTCTCCAAGCGGCGGGAGAACATCAGGAGGTCATGAAGCCTAACGTTTGCCAGACAGTCCGGCAGCGAGTGGACGCAGGGGGTGGAGGGGATGTCACAAACTTGATCCCCCTAGAGGTCAGAAGGGACCCTCACATCATAAGGGAACTGGCGGAGACTATGCGTCGCATAGCTGATGAACACGACACAAAGCAGACCGTGTACTCAACGGAGACCGAGCGTACACCTCCCCCCAACCACCGCATGCAGCCATTCGGGGAACACACTGGTGAGATCGAGGGGTCTCGTACCTCGGTTCGCATTCGGATTGGTGGGACGCCATGCTCCCAGGACATGGGAGGCCATTGAGAAGCGGGCGTGCCCATACATCGACACCGGGCAACCACTGACCAAACTCCGATGGTTCCCCGCAATAGCGCACAGATCAGGGAACCCACTCCCACTGTGAATCGCGTGGGCCACCATTTCCAGTAGGTTGAGGGGAACGACGACCGCTTCATTCAGAGGCAGCACGACACAGATGTGCCCCCGTGTAGAGGCTGCATTAGCAACTATCGATCCTGTGGCCCCTGCTCCTACGACACAGAATGCAATGATGGCTGCAGTGTTGTCACACCCCGGACCTACCCGGACACGTCAACAACCCGCCGTACAGTATGAATAGTCAACCGCAGTCCGACACATTCATACTATACAAGGCGTCTTGAATACCATTCGCACATAGTACATCCATAAACAAACATAATGTAAAATATTCATTTAAAGCAGCGGAAACATTAATACAAGTATTCAAGCCACACTTGGCAAACTTAGGCATACAAGCCCCCAAATAATTATTCAGAAAATAATATCTGTTGGGGAATATTATCCCGACCCACTACTGTTCAGAGACCCAAGACACCCGGTACGGAGCCCAATCGGCGAGGCCCATTTAGTCTCGCCCGGCCCATTTAGGTCTGCTTCGGCCCATTAGCGCCATTTCGTCCCATTAGGTTAGAAAGGCTCCCCCCCTCTCTTCTATAAATAGGAAGCAATGCTTCCGGACTTTTGGCTTTCCTCCCCAATACTGCTACTTCTTATTTTTGTAGGGTAGTTATTTCAGGCCTGCTTCGGCCCATTAGCGCCATTTCGTCCCATTAGGCCCATTAGGTTAGAAAGGCTCCCCCCTCTCTTCTATAAATAGGAAGCAATGCTTCCGGACTTTTGGCTTTCCTCCCCAATACTGCTACTTCTTATTTTTGTAGGGTAGTTATTTCATACTCCATAAATGGAGGTTCTACACTGGTACTATGTAAAATGGTGAGGAGAGCATGTTAATGAGAAAGAGCGGGCTTGGACGTTAGCCTAAAAAGTCCCATGATTTTCTCCCTTTCCGGGTTTCCACGTAAAAATAGCTAGTTCATACACTTTTATATTTATTATTTACTTTCATACTGAATTGATCGTTCCTAATATCTGAAGTTTATGTTGGGCTTCCGGATCTACGTGACTAAACCTCAACAATATCCATGAGCATTAATGTAATTATTTTTTAGACAGAAACGGAGATAGCACGAACCACGTCTTCACTACTAGATCCTCCCTCGAAGCAACGAGTCTTGGTAGCAAGCTCAACTTCTACCTGAAACTATAAGGTGGCCTCCCCCATGAAGGGGAGGTCAGTACTTTAAAGCATTTGAAAAGTACAATGACAACTACACTGAACATAATTACTCATTCCATTCCCCACTAGTATTTCAATACTAGTCGGATAAATCTTAGAACTATCAAGTTCTCCATTCATAGTCATATGGCCACTTCAAACTCATTTTGTAGTCAAAATATAATTTGTTCAATATAAAAAATATCACTTTTCACATGCATATAATCCACATATGAAGTAAAAGTATATTTTATCAATAAGCCTTATAGTTATCCAACTATCATGCCATGATTCCTACAACACATAAACATACATAATTTATTCCAAATATGAATATCATGCTCCTTTCCTTTATAGACCATAGTCTTCTCATTTTAGGCATTATTAATCAACAATAATCCATGAAAAACATATTTAATTACCTTAGGTAATCTCATGAAATTAACTCACTAATTATAAGCAATATAGTCAGACATCCTCACCTTATAGAGTACTTAACTAGTTGCCTTTGCGAAGCCCTTTGATTAATCCCCGTTCTAGGCCGATTGAACACAAAGAACTGGACTGTTGGGAAAAATCCGGGTGGCTTTCACAAAAGCCGGGCGGCTTTCGGGCAGCTGCACTACGGGAACCTTCTTCTCCTTGGTGGTTTCTGGCGGTTTCAACTCCTATCGATTCCACGATTCTTCTAAGTTAAATACCAACACTTTATACCAATATTCTACACTTTTAAACGTGTAGAACTCATTTTTTAATCCACCATATGATTTTGTTAGGCCCTAGATTTTGTGTAAACAGTTTTGATGATGCCAAAGTCTTTCAAATGCTCCCCCTTCTTTTGTAGCATTAGGAAATCAAACGTACTGTATTTTGAATCAACCAAGTGCCAGCAAAGTGTTATCCGAATGTGTCTCATTTGTATTATCAATAAACAAATAAATATAACTGGAAAAACATAAAAAGCAATAAGGTAATCCTCATTATCTTAAAAAGGATTTCTTATAGATCCAACCAGTTATATTTATTTACAAAAAGAAAAACACTAAGACATTTCAAATAAGTAAACTATTTGACTGGAACACAAAAAATAATAAGGTAATTTTTTGTACCGTAATAGGATTCGTTATCCTACCAGTTGAATGTTTATTTATGATCAAAATACTAGTTCG